GAAAGAGGCCAGGGTTCTCCAGGGTCAATGACAGGCAGGCAGATGGCAGGGGTGGGAGTTGCAGGGGAAAAGTGCAGCCCCCAGGGGTATTTGAGGGGGGCCTTGATCCCTTGAAGCCCCCTCAATAGCCCTTTCTCTGGCCTGAGAGTAAAAAAGAGAGGACAACATGCAACCCCACTCTTTGCACTGTTTAACCTTTTAAAAACAGCCAAAGAAAAAGAGCTAAAATCATTTTTTCAAAGCCAGATATGACCTTGCCGTCCCATCCAGTTTGTTTTTCTGTTTTGGCAGCCCATGCTGTTTTGGCAGCCCATGCTGTTGCCCACCCACTTACTGACCTGTCCTGTCTTTAGGCCAAGAGGTGCTATGGGGGGGGCACAGGGGTTCCCTGCATCTGTAACCATCCCTCTGTCCATCTGCAGGTGTTCTTTGCCTCAGTGCGCTCAGGGGGCAGCAGCCAGGTCTACTTCATGACACTGAACAGGAACTGCATCATGAACTGGTGAGGGGGCTTCATCCGCCGCCGCCCCAATTCACGGGGGGCAGGAATAGGAGGAAGGCAGCTGCTCCCCCGCCTGACCAGAAAGGAATGGCCAGAGGAATCAGAGAAACTGATGCCTCTTCCTCCTCGGTGGTTGTTTCCCAATCCCACCCTTCCCTTGGCTGCCATTTTGGGAAGGACCCAGCTGCTGCTCTTCTTTGGTCCCTTTTTGGGGGGTGACAGGATGAGAGCTTGTGTGGAGGGGGAAGACACCCCCCCATGGCCATCCTTTGTCTCCTGTGGATCCCAGGAGGAGTGTTTCTGTGGGGCAGCCAAGAATGGGGGCAAGAGGTGGGGATTGCTGTACAAGGTTACACCCCCCACACACACCCTGCCCAGTGTCCCAGAATGCCACAGCCTTTGGTGGGCCCTTTGCTACATGGGGCAGCCGTGGGAGGATCAAAGCCAAATCATGTAAATAGACAGAATAATGGGGAGGACTCCCTTGCTCCATACCTGCCTGCCTTCCTTCAAATCAGAGGGAAGACAGTGACCCCGTCTCCACCACCTTGACAATGGGCTTATGGGCTCTGTCATGGTGTTGCAGTACCCAGACACCTTTTGGGGAGGGTAGGAAATCCCTCCGACCATCCCATAAGGCACCCACCCACTCATTCCCACCTGCCCCCTGCACAATGCCCCCCATGGCCCAAATGCACAGTCTTGTACGCATGTGATGCGGTTCCCTCCCCCCCCCCCTGTTCACTTTCCCATTTCCACACAGGCACAGGCCTGTATCCCCCCTCTCCACCTGCCACTGGTTGCGGTTCTTGTGGCCAGAATGGCCATGGCTGACCGCTGGGACCCACAGCAGCCAGTGCCCACCCTAACCCTGCCATGGGACGTATGTGGATGTATATCAGAATTCCCTCCCCCTCACTGGCAAGGGGGGAGCTGTGTATATTTTGCTTTAATTATCATTCTTTTGTAATGGCGATTTAAGTAATTAACTAACAAAGCACTTTAACAGCCCAGCTAATGTGGGTGAGAGGGGGTGGATGATATCTGTTGGAATTGGGGGCCCCAGAGAGGACCATAGGAGCCTAGGCCTTTGTCCTCTCCCCATTCTGCTTGGCCCCCAGGTGCAAGTGGGCGCAACCATGGTGAGGGGAGCTTTTCCCTCCCGCAGGGCAA